ATACAATAAAGGGATAGTTACTGGTTGCACATCACTATTTATGAATCTTACTAATTGAATTTTTGTAAAATACAAAATTGGCGAATCAAGTTGTCCCTTATTCAATAGCCATCTATTCGAATTCGTCGAAAACTTGAAAGATACATTTGAAGTACAGGGCATCGAACCAATGAAGATATTTTTTGCATCATCATTTAGAATAAGTACTGGTGGTCGAACAACATCGAGCCACCAATCACTCTGAAACTGATATAATAATTGAATCATATCAATTTCTTCATTCTTACATGTAATGGCAAATTCTAGTTTTCTCAGGCGCCAGCATTGTTGAAATATTGCCTCCAAACGATCTCCATTGATTACATGTTTTAAAGTATGAATAATCAAAGTCACACATTCGAGAGATGATTGATAACAACTAATTAAAGTTTTGATAGAATTAAGACACCAATCATCGTCATCTCGATCGTGATTATCACGTGCGATGTATAATCGAACTAGACGGATGGGTTGCTGAATAAGATTTAAAAGGGTAAAATAGTTTGAAAAATGATACATAGGTATGAACTCTTTGATCTTCAGACTAATCAAATTGGGAGCGAGAGCAGAAAGACAGAATATATCTTGAACTGTACACTTCTTGGCAGATATACGCACAATAGATGGACAAGATTGAGTGTTGGAAATGACTTCTACCTAAAACAGTGTTCTCATACAAAAGATAAATACACTGAAATGTCTGTCTAACGCACCTGCTCGGCATATTTCAAGTATAACTGACCACTAAAAATGGATAATCCATCATCGTCATCATCTTCATAGTCCGAAGAAGGCCAAATATCACACAATCGAAGTATATTCAAAGTTGAAATAATAGCACCTAGGGCAGAAAATGCAACGATGACTTGTAATTCGACCGTAAAAACGTTTGAGCACTTTAAAATGATTGATTGTAGATTGAAAAATGAATGTGTACATGAAAAAATATTCGGCACCAGCTTCATGTCGAGAGTCATCTTTTCAATAATATTCTCGACGAATGATCTATGTTCGATTAGCCAAACTGGAGATATATCATCCGGAAACGTGAAGTTGCGTGCTGACTTGTGAACAATCCAATTGAATCGTCGATTAAGACAAGAAAATGCTTGAACAAGATCTGTTGAGCTCAAATAGGACATAATCAAAAACATTGATTCATTTGACAAAGATTCAAAAGAACTATTTAACAATGGTCTGAAACGAAAGATTTGCCTATTTGTTTAATTTAATAAAAAAATAGTGTATCCTTATACTTTCGAGGAATGTTCACTACATCATTCTGCTGTTCAAAATCAAGCAAAGTATCAATCAAACTTTGATCATGCTCATTTTGAGTGGCATGGCTTGCTGTCTTCTGAACTGATGTCGATGAACTCGTTAGTTTGGATAACTGAGTGATGGCGTGGTTATTTTCTTCATAATCCAATTTGACTCGTTTGCTGCTCATATCGAAATCACGATCTTCAGAATACGAAACAGAACACATCGAACGAAATTACTAAACTGAGAAAGTTACCTGAGTATAATCTGGCGTTGTTGTCTTGAATCTGTATCGTCAGACCATGATCAGAGCTCATCTTGTTACAAAATCTAAAACATAAATTTAACTATAAATTGAATTGAAAATTAGCCACTCCTAATCTCTCTTTTATCATAATTATAATAAATTCAGTTTTCGAAACGGAATAAAAGGAATGGATGTTGTATATGAGAAAGTTTGTAAACTATTAAAAGAAAAGCTGTGCAGCTTTCATGGCAACTATCGCGCATATTCGCAATGCATCCCTTCGCATTTTTCTGCTTTGTTTTGCTCTTTACGGCACGTTTTTTCTCTCTTCAGTAGGATTTCATATTCGGAAGAAAGAGAACACGTAAATTATGTGAGTGGGGAGTGGCTGTGGGTATTGATGTGGGATGGGTGTGGGTGTGGGTGTGAGGTGTGGGTGTGTGTGCGGGTGTGGGGTGTGGGTGTGGGTGTGAGTGGGTGTGGGTGTGGAGTGTGGGTGTGTGACGTGGGTGTGTGGGTGTGTGGGTGTGTGGGTGTGGGCATGTGAAAAGAAGGATAACACGGAAACTCACATCCACATCCCACACCCAGCCACATCCACACCCGCCCCCGCACTCACGCCCACGCCCACACATCCACACCCCGAGACTCACCGAGGCCGAGGCTGAAACTTTTGACCTCGGTGCACCCTGAAATCGCGTGAAATCACGAGAAATCCACGAAAGCATTTGAAAATCAGTTTTTTCTTCTTTGATGACTTGGCCAAATTGCAGGTGATTTTCAAATGATTTCAAGTCATTTCAGATGATTTCAACTGATCGATGATTTCAAGTCGATTTCAACATTTGAAACCAGTTTCTTCCTCCTTGGATGAAACTTTGCTGTTGGCTATTGAGATCGGGGAATCCCAATCTGAAGTCAGAGTTTCAAAATTTTGAGTTTTGTTTTTTCGGTCAAGGAAATGATTTTTTCACAAAATATTGATATTTTATTAAGGTTAACGAAAGTAGGGTGTGGGTGTGCGGGCGTGGGCGCGGGTGCGAGGGCGGGTGTGGGTGTGGTTGTGGGTTTCAGTGTTATCCTTCTTTCCACATGCCCACACCCACACCCACACGCTAACGCTACACACCCACGCCACACACCCACACCCACTCACACCCTATCCGATGGGAATAGTTGTTAACTCGAATGGATATATGTATATAGCTGATTATAGAAACAGCCAAATTCTTCGATGGCCACCAAATTCGAGTTCTGGTACATGTATTGTGGCCTGTACTGGTATTAGCGAAAATGGCATTGATATGGTGAATGGACCGTCTGCATTGGCATTGGATAGCTATGGATCTCTTTTTATTAGAGATGGAAACAATAATCGAGTACAAAAATTTCAGATACTTAACAGTTTTGGTGAGTAGAAAATGTTTTAATAAATGTAGTTTGTTGATTTTTTCTGGAAATTGCTACAGATGAAACTTCAATGACAGCGGCGGCTTTGATAACAGTGACAACAGATTATACAACACCATTGCCAGCTTCATCGATGTCAACTAGGACATTTTCCACAACAGTAACAATATCAGTCGCTGTGTTGGTAACTTGTTTTATCAAAAAAATGTTTCATAATAATTTCAGTCGCTTATCCTATAATTTTCTAGCTTTGGTTTCTTAACGAGTGGAACTTGAACGAATTTGTCTTTCGGCTCAGAACTATACAATGAATAACAAAGTGCGAAAATGCTTCATTTATTCAAGTTGACAATCGTTCTTTCTCTCTATCACTTTCATACCAAACTTGGTTGTCGCTTTTGTATCAGTATTCATATCAAAACATATTTTTCTGTGTCGCTGAATATCAGAAACGACATTTTGTAAATTATATAGTTGTTCTATTTTTATGTTTCATGTAAAACTCACTTTTGTTAATGAAGCTTCATGTATCAAGTCGATGTACGTCAACTGTTATACAATTATGAAAATAAAGCTTGGATATATATATATTTACATATTAAAGATGTTAAAGTATCAAGTTTTTGCCGGCCTACCCTGTCTGTATCTTTCATCTTATTTCTACTAGCTAGGTTGTATGTAAATGCCTGTTTATTTTCTATATGTCAATATCATGAATCTCAACGTCGAAAGCAATTTCGAAAAGTGTTAACCATTCTAAGGTATTTTCTTATTACTTGTGCACGAGAACATGAAAGAATAGGAGTACAATGACAAGCCTTTTATTTCATACCTATTTGGAAAGTCTTTGTTTGCTTGAGTAATGATTTAGAAATTAATTAGAGTGTGGATGTGAAACAAAATCGACATTTACACCAGTACTCCACATTCATTCACATTCACATATTTTTATGCATCATTACTCGTTACAGAGGTCCTTGAACGTAATGACTACGAGTCGACACCAATTGTGAAGCAAGAAACTAGGTGAATATATTCAATTTTAATTGGCTGTGCCAAAGCTTATTGAAATGTCTATCAACCTTTTTTCAATATATATTCATCACTATTTTCCGATCTTGACATTTTTCCATTGACATATAATCTTGCGACATTTTTTTCCAATGGCATTAGTTATAGTAGGTATCAATATCTTCAATATACAACAACTTACAGAATAAAGTTTTACTATTTTGTTAGGACATGCAAAAAAATAGCTTCTCTATAATACGAGCGTATGTATTTTCTCTATAAATGAAACTAGAGACATGAACATCTGATATAATATTTATCTAGTCGCAAGGTGTTAGATGTCAGACGTTGAGCCTTTTTAAAATATTATAGTAAGGAAGAAAACGCAGTTTTTTTTTTCATAAGGACTCTAGACTTTCGGCTCTCTCTGTAAATTCATCTATAGGAATTTATGCTACGAATAGAGGTGATAAATAGACCATCAAACATATTCGACAAGCTTGATGCTTATCGCCGGTTCTGACCTGCTCGACAAAATGGTTTCTTGCAGAGCAAACAAACAAGAAACTTAAAAATCAATACTTCGTTCATATAGATGTAAGGATGTTCGGAAGTCGTGTGAAGCGGTTATGAATAAATCTTGACAATCTGATGCCGTTAAACTGTCTGCATAGATCGATTGTTTTTATACAGACAGTCTTTATCTTTTTCCTACTTCTACTTATTTTTGTCATGTTTCTTATATAGATAGTTGTTTGGTGAATCTTTTATTAGCCTGCATACTTCTTTATGAGTCATTCCTATGGAATTACATGACGCTGTTTTTGACGTCATGGAAAAAAGGCATTCCATAAAAAATCTAAATAGTTTTCATGGTTTTCACTATCCTGTGTTTCAATTTTGATAGATTGCATAGAATCTCCTGTCAAGAAACAATTTATTGATTCTTACGAATGGTACGGACAACAATAACTCGAATATATACAAAGTTTATTCTAATTGATGAGTCAAGATGTATGCATAGGAATTTCTATGCTGGTTTATGTTCATTTTTGCGTCCAACATTGGCTGAAATCATTTGAGCACGTGTATTTGCTGAATCAGTAGACATTTGAAATCGTTCTATTCGAAGTACTTGTAAAACTGCTTTACGAAAGTTACGACTTGAGTAGAATGAGACATAAAAACTAGTGCTATAGAATAAATAAGAGAAAAGACGTATCAATTCAATAAAAACAGTTTCCCAAGCTAATCTTAATGGTGATTTGTACCAATCTTCAGTAATATTCGAGTAAAGATTCTGAGCTCCATAGGGAAAAAACGAAGGTATCGCAACAAAAGATTGTAATAAAAGCATATTTGTTAATTGTGCATCGATTTGTTGAATATAATATGGACTAACAGCGAGTGCTTGTGAGACAATACCTGTCGGCTGGATGCGTCGATGAACGACTTGTCTAACATTTCTTAGTAGTGCACAGCCAAGTATCAACAAAACAACCGGTGGACAAACGCCAGACATGATGGCTTCAAAGTAAATATCGAGTTTTTCGTAGAAACCTGGATGAGCAGCACAAACACCACTTATATTGCTGTAGAGGAATAAACGGTGACCAACAAGTAAAAACCAGAACACAATGACACTGGGTACTATCTTATAAGCCAAAGACACCCGATTGCTCCAGTTTCGATAAGCTAAAAGCAAGAGATCACTATGAGCAATTATGTTTCACAAAAATAATCGATCTTATCAGAGCTGTGATTATATGCAATTCATTCTCGTTATAGCCTACGTTATTGGGAAGCAAGGGGGAAAAGCGAGACTTCAAAGTTGGAGTACAGCTGGAGTACGGGTGGAGTACAGTTGGAGTACAGTGGAGTCTAGTGAGTACGTACTTCTTGTACTCCAGGTAGACTCCACTGTACTCCAGCTGTACTCCAGTTGTACTCCAACTGTACTCCAACTGGACTCCACCTGTACTCCGGAGTACAGAAGTCTCGCTTTTTCCCCCTTGTTGGGAAGTCATTTCTAATACTATATATACATTAACAACAAACATTTAACGAGTCCGATCATGGAAGCATTGAATTAGATATTCAACTACTTAATACATATCGATAGTGTCATAGTGACCTTGCAGAACGCATTTCAATATATTATTTTCTGTAGATTCCTAAAACATACCATTAGAACGATGCGTTGATAAAAATCGATCAATAGTGGCCAAAGTAAACAGTGTAAATGCCACTTGATGTGTATATTGAGAAAGAAATTGACGTATTTTGCAAACGACATCATAACGATTGATAATCGGAAGTCGAAAACCTTTTTGAATTATACGTGTAACTAAGACATAATCAAAATAGAGAAAATTGAAACATGATTCCGCAATTAGATATACTGAACAAGCTCGACTACGAAAATTTCGAGAACTAAAAACGGTGATATTGCCAATCCAGCTGATATTACCCGTGACAAATATGAATAAACCAAGATAAATATTAAGTTGATATGGAGTCAATAATAAAGTAGGATCAATAATGGTATTACTTGTATTTGTTGCACTCATAATGATAATAGTCAACACTTGTTTTGAATACAAGAAAATAATTTCTGATGATGATGTTAGTTGGTTGTAGTCGTTTATTGATTAATCGCTTATCTGAAAAAAATATGAAATATTAAAAACTTTTTCAGAAATGTGTTGATTAGAAGTTCTTGATTAATTCGAATTGAAGACAATCTCATGCTAATCTTGTCAAATATCAGATTCACATTTACGGCCATGATATTCATCTATTCTTCTATTTAAAGCAAATGAAAAGGAATACATGTCGTTGCAAATAAACATATAGCAGAGAGCAGTCAGCCGTTTAAGTAATCTATCTCTCGTTCTATACTGAAAAACTAAATAAACACAACTTTTATCTTTTTCTTGCACATAACTGTGAGCAAAAATAGAGCATAGTTAATACGCATACTTATCTTACAATAAATCAAATCACGTCGAAATACTTTGATATGCGATGGTACATTCATGATGATTAGATCATTACTCTTCTATTTGAATTCATCATCTATGTTTTCAAGTACTCCGACAGTTGAATTTTCTAGGTATCAATTATTCTTCAAACTAGAAGCATAGACGGATAGGTGGATTAATTCTATAAGCTATGAAAAGGTGGATATCATTATTTCCATAACAATTGATGTTTGGATGGTGATATTAGGAAACTTACCGCATCAAAGGAAATAATAATGTTTTCAAGCTATTCCTCCTCTTCCCAGTGATCAAAAATGACATAGATAAATACAACTCTCATTCAAGACATGTAAGCAAAGTATGTTGTTGTAAGGAAAACTACTGCCTCGGTGGATTTTTCAAGCGTAAAAAAATTTCTGAATTCCTTCATGTAGATATTCGGATCCCATAGAAATAATTCTGTCGTATTATATCCCTAATTTTTGTCGGAAAAGAGCTCTTTGAATCCATTCGAATAAAATTATACGCAGATATATGGAAGTGTTTTCGACATATGTATCGATTTTATTCATTCATATTGAAAAAAAACAAGTACTGGCATATAGCTCGATGAGTATTTTTTTTCCTGAGCTTTAAAAGAACTACTTCTGATTTGACGCATTCTTAGGCGATTCCATTAGAAAAGAATACCGACTCAATCTCACTTCGTCAAAGAACTGATTAATTGTGACAAGCTAACAATGCATAAGTAAACAACGAGAATGCCTGATAAAAGAAATTCAAGTTAAATATTTATATACTCAGTAATCGTTAATGTAGATTTTCTAATGGCATTAGAGCTCAACAAATCTTGGAATAAGTTGATGACGTCAATCTATTCTAGTTTCTTTTTTTTCTTAATATGTCATAAGAATTAAAATAATGAAGAATAGAAATCATACAGCTCTCTTCGACATTGTTGATACCCTTCTGGTAGTTTGCTATGACTGTCAGATCGACTTTAGCTAATTGTGATCTTACTGAATTGTATCTTATCTATGTTAAATTCGAATAATGGTGTATGAAAAACGAAATAACCAATGATGATACCATGAAAGTCTAGATTGCGAATGTGTTTGGTAAAAGCAATTTCTTTATTGCAAGAGTTTCTATATAGATGTTATGACATGTCTCTCTTGAATCAAGCCTCAAAACTTCTGAATAAATTCTTTTGCTACTGTAGAGTTGTGTTTTAGCGAATTGAAGAATATTCATCCTAGTTTTTTTCCGTATTTGGGATAAAGCCGTTATCTTGCTGCAATCTTTCGAATTATACAAGTGAACCGGGGTGTTCCTATGATAGTTCAATTATGTGCAGTCTTTATAATACATCTGCCATAGTCAAACGGCAGACAAAAGGTAGAAATGTTACGATCAAGAATCCGATACTAAATATAGCTGTCGTCTTTTCTCATCCATCGAACATTTTTTCTTCAACTCGAAGTAATTGAAATGAAGATGAATTGATGGCCCTGTTTATATTTTCGGCATCCAAACTCTTTATTCCACTTAATATTGATGATCCAAATTTTGTCTGTGTTATATATCATTCATCGTTTCAATAAGATTGACGGCATCGATAATCGAGAGAGTACGGATGAAAAAGACCGTATTATCTACTCGTATCAGACGATACCATGCAAATAATTTGATTTCTTTTTTTATTTTGTGACGATTCAACGCGTTGTATCAATGATACTCATCAAACAGAAAGAGAACAGACGGGATCATCAAAAAAGGCAGAGAGAAAAAAATAAGAAATAAGAACAAGCGAAATAAGATAATATTGTGTCTATGATCATTATAATATCTCTTAAGTAATTCTATTTTTATTTTGATAGATTATCAATGAAATATTTGATAATTATACACTTCACAATAGGAGAAGTCTATGACATTGGTGAAATTCTCTGGTTAGTGTTGGGAAAAGCAAAAGTTCAAGTCAGCAAAAATTGCTAGTGTGCTTCATCACACAACATTAGCAGTTGGCATAAACGAGCAGTTAATCGAAGACGAGATAATACCAGGTTATTTCGACAAATCTAGTGCGAGTGTGTGGGTATGGTGAGAAAAACATTCACACGCACACCCATATCCTACACCGTGATCCACAGTCACTCTAGCCACACTCACCCCCTCACACACCCAATAAAGAAACATTTGTTGCCTTTTACATACATTAGTGTAAGTATATGTCAAAGATATCTTGAGGATAGGCGATGGTGAGTGAACAATTGATGACGCTCACTTT